TATGGCCCTTCGAGAACAGCTTTGTGTTCATGTTAAATCCCGGAATTGTGTATTCGGAAGACAGTTTCATGACAATTTTATGGAAACCCAAAAATTCAGGAACATACAGGAATGCTTCACCTGCTGACTATTTAAGGGTGTAAACATAAGGTTTCCCCGAAATGGCAGAAATGGATTATCCGAGACGGACGGACTTTAGTATTATATTGTTAGCTAGGCCGCACAATAAAAATGACGGTCGAATTCGGTTCGAAACGGAGAAGAAAAGGTCGGCCTGTTCGTGCAGGGTTTAATGGACGCGCGCACACGCGCTGCCTAGGACTGTGTGCGACGCGAGCGCCCTGTCGTGCTGTTAGTAAGCGACAGAAGGTGGATGGAAAGCATCATTCAGAAATGTACCTCCTAAGTGCACGAAGGAGCCACGAGTCCAGCTTTATGATAGTTATTAATATCGAATAGTCAGCCACCGTGCCCATTACGGACATAATGGGACGCAATTTTTTCCCGCGACAATGAGGCACCCCGTTAAACACTCGATGCGCCGGCATTATTCACGCGTATGATTAAGCTTTGTTAATATATCCGATGGCAGGACGTGGAACAAGAGGAGGACACGCGGAACACGTGAAACAAAGCCGGGCACCGGTTCGAACGTGTACCGGGAGGCTATCACGAGCGAAATTGTAAATCGCCTGTCAGCCGGCGCGACAAATCAAAAAAATGCTAGCCGAACGGTTTTAACTGTGTCAAACGTTACTCGAGAGCTATGGGTCAACCGTACAGCTCGAAAATTGTTGTTTCCAGTGACTGCAACTTGAGATTTAAATAAAAGAATGGTAGTCGATGGATTTGAACTCTGTCAAACGTTATTCGGATACTATAGTTGAACTGTGGAGTTCGGAAATTGTTTCAAATAATTGCAGCTGGATATTTAAATAAAGGAATATTAGTCGATTGATTTTAACTGCGTGGAACGTTGCTCGGAAACTATAATCTGTCAAATCTAAGAGTTCCATTGTTCTATTGTTGTTCGAAATGACGGAAACTTAAACTGAAAATAATTATAGTATCAACCTATTCATTCATGAAGCTATTGACATTTACGATGCCGTACAAAGATTCTTCGAAATCTGGTCATTTTTATCTAAAGGGTGACCACTTTTAATAAGATCTTCGGGTGATTAAAGCTAAAGGTATACGATCATAAAAATTAGTATTCCAAGAAGTGAACAATAGAATTTTCATTTCTACAGTACGACTTTCTGACCTGGGCTGCCCTTTTTTGTAATGATTCGTACAATTTCTGTGTTCAGTTTCGAACTGTCGTTCCGAAAACAGAAGCGAGCTGTCACTCGGTTGGCAGTTTCCAGGGAAAACCTATTGCGGCGCAGGTACGTTTGAATAGACAATTTCCGCAACCGGTTTTCAGCCAGACCACATTCATTTTCATTAGACCAGTATTGGAAGTCCGTTTGTTGCTCGAGAATATTAGACCCACACAGGAACCGTAAATAACCTGCCGACGCAGGTAAGCAACAGTCGTACCACGAGTGCAGGTATATAGTACAAAGATCGATGGCTGACAATGAGTAATCCTAATTTTATTACCGTTAATTAGAAATAATCTTACTTTTTATTGCCGTAAGGCAAACAAGTATATACTCGACTTCCAATAAAACTGTTTTCAGGACGGTTTAAGCGAATTGTCGTCTGTTAAGACAACAAACAAAGAAATTATTTCAGTCCTGAGAAACAACTGCTGTAGTAGCCTAAGTATCTACAAAGACAAAGGGATTATTTCTTGAAGTATTAATGGTGAATGTAATATATGAATCCTGAGAAATTACACTACCATTATAGTTCCAGTCTTTTTCATACTAGTTTCAACCGTTTCGACTTTATTCTCGGCTTTAAGAATTTATACTTTGTACATAGAAATAATAGTAAACTGCCACAATCGTCTAGTATAGTAGTATACAATTAGTTTTACCTAGGTTGACTTAATCTGCGACGAAGTGTTTGCAATTAACGAACACTTAATTCTTCTATTATCCCTCGAATGTGCAATGTGATTTCAATTTGGAAACGGCCTTCGATCATGCGAGGAAATTTCCATTATTACCTACAGACAAAAGACGGTTATTAACTAAAAATACATCAAGACTTCAAGCAAGAGAATATATGAAGGATATAATGAACATATCTGTAAAGAGTCGAAACTCTCAGGTATAAATCCTAAATAAAATAAACGGATTAAATAAATTGCAATAACAGTATCCCCCGCGTCATTGACAAAACGAACATAGTGTTTCTCATGTTTGGTCGTTCTACCCTAATTCTATATTATCGGTGCCATAACGTTCCACGGTACGAATCTGAATTTGTCGTAGACGTTCAATGAAAGACAGTTCCGAGAAAATCGGATTTCCCTTCCTAGGAAAGGGTTGTACTCGCAGAAACTATGCTTCCAGGTTCCGAGCAGTAATTCGTTTATTGCCGTATAAAGGCAAGCCAGCTAAGATCAGCCGGATTAGGACCATTGATTTTCGTTATTCGCGAGAACAACACTAATCGCTCTAAGAACAAACAAACGTGTCCGTATTTCCTGGAAATTTACCTGCTTCGAACGGCACCGATACCGACCGATCTGCCTGTGAGCAGGTGTAACCTCTCCCATGGATATTCCCGATCGCACGATTAATTTCTCCGTCGACGATTAGATTCGACGCGATGGGGAATACACGCCTCGTCGATTTTCTTTTTCGCCTCGGGACGCTCGAAAAACCTGCGAGAGGATCGCTGGATATTGATCGAGAGGGAGCACGCGGGAGATGGACTAACGATCGGAGGTACGAAACCGTGTACCGTAATTAATTAACGAGGATGAACTTTCGCGAGGATTTAGAAAGATCAAACAGCTGACTCGCGAATGAATTTTACTGTTACACCGACGCTTTATTAATCAACAGTTCGACAAGAGGAAATTTATGCTCGTTCCGAGACCGTGTTTCCTGTGAACATTGAACTTGGGGCGTGGCGCGAAGTATTCAGAAAATTAACGAACCGCATAATTCAGCGCACACGTACTATCTGCCGATAGAAGATTCAGTTTTGATAAAATTTTCGTTCATACAAGGTGGAGGCTAATTACGTTTAAGCTTAAAACCGATCATTACGTGTAATAATGAATTGCTTCGCGCGGTGATTGGATAATCGAGATAACGTATCGCCGATTCCGATTGCGTTCAATATTAACGAGACACTGTCGCGGAGCTAATGCAGCGGAAGCAGACCACGCCAGAAGGGATGGCGATAAATCAGACGATTTCAGAGCTCCCAGTGAATAAACGATGGCGCGAACAATTTCGACGGTGAATTATCGAAGTATTTAATTCATCGATAAGTTGCCGCGCCGCTTCTTCCGTGTTCCCGGAGGTTCTCGAAGTTTTCGCGGCGTCCCGGCAGGTTCCAACGCGGAAGCGAACGCAGGAAAAAGCTCGTACGAACGCCGCGAACGTCGTCGGTTATTAATCGAAGCTGGAAGTGAGTAAACTCGGTTAATTGGATAAGTAAACTCCGAATGGATGCTCGCGTGATTACGCCTATCCAGTTTTCGAGCGGTTTTCGAACGTCAACCGAAGAAATTTCCACCTCGTTTCCCCGGTGTAATTTATAAACGAGAGGTTCGCGTGACTCGAGGACTTTCCGCTCGGCTTAATATTTTTCCGCTAACCGAGCGGCTCTCGCGTCATCCTCCGGCCGCGCCGACCGGAAAAACCGTGACGGATCGCTATCACGGAATGTTACGACACTCTTCTTCTTAATATTATGATCGCGCCGATACTTAAGGTTAACCCGTTCCCAAGCACTATCCTTCCGAGTTCGTCCCTCGAGCCGCGGTAATTGCGCTTGGGCAGGCTCGCGTGTCCGATAATCGCGTAATCCGTAGACTAAAGGTGATTTTCGGGGATTTTGCGATTAGCTCCGGGTACAAGTGGCGTGATTCGAGTTGGCGATCCTTGTTGACCCGTGGGACAATGCACGTTTCTTGCTCCGTATAATTGTGTTTACTATAATTCGAAAATCTTATTGAAGAATCTTCTTATACACTAGAAATTCTGCCTGTTGCCACAGGTAAGAAACCTTTCATTCCAAGATGTTACAATTTCTATTCAAAGTGTTAACAGATTACAGGAATTTTCACGTTAATACTACGACTACCGGGCAACCAAATCAATTGTCTATAATTCTCCGATACAAATTCTAAAGATAATTATTGAAACTCCATTTCACTTATATCTCAATGTACACGTTACAAAATGAATATAGTCTATAAATCCTCTGCAAAAATGATCAAAGCCTCAAAAACCATAAAACCCAAAACCTAGTTCACGCGTGCTCCAAAACATCGGACTCGAAGATCCACCCTGTTTATCCAAGGGCTGAAACCCTCGATTCAGGGTGCCTACTGCAGGCTCTGCGAGCATCGACGTCGCGACGCCCGTCCTCCTTTGATAGGCGTCCACTAGTGGGAGTGGTCGCGACATGCGCGGTGCTCGGCACGCCGCCCACGGGACCAGATTCTCATTGGCGGGAGGCGCGAAGGGGCCGACCCGCTGGTCGACTCGTCGGCTGTCGGTTCGTCGTGACGGTGGTGCCATCGTCGCCAATGGAACGCTGGTATCCGGCAGGGAACACTCGCCAGTGGCGGAGTCAGTGGTACCGAGCGCGGTGATTCAGCTGCGTCCGTGGTGGGGGCTGGAGGGGTGGTTCCCTAGGGATCGAGCGAGCGGTTCGCCGGGGACGCACGAGGTCGGCCGAACGACCGCCAGGCCGTTCCAGGTGCCGAGGAGAAAGCGAGAGAGAAGAGAAGGGAGCGGCGTGGCGGAGCCCGTGGGCCCGAGCGAGAGGGGGAGCCCGGCAAACGGGACAAAGAGAGAGGGCAAGGCTCGTAAACGCCGAAATCGGCCGAGTTGCTCCTCGGCGGGAGCCCAGTCCTTACTCTCAGTCCCGCTGTGAACGCAGGAACGAACACTACGGATGTTTCACCCTCCCTGTACAAACGGTGCGTTGGAGACGTTGACGTGAGTCGTGACACCGGCCGTCATCGTTGTCGGCGTCGTCGTGGTCATCCACCGGACGCCTCTAACCGACCCGGCGATCGTTTCCGAGAACTGGTGCTACGCGCGACTACGTTCGAGTATACGAAAACGGGTTCTCCGACGGGAAACGGTAATCGAAATTCCCGCAGCCAGTGAGGAAGTCCACAAAGAGGATAGAAACTTTGCCGAGTGAACACGCGTGATTTTCGAGCGAACCTTCGTCGGGGATCGAGGAACCTAAGTGAGCGGATCGCAGGTGTCCGTTCAAGGATACTTGTCCTGGGGCTAACGCAGGAATTTAGAACGCGTACGGACGGTGAACGTTTTAGCAGTGAACTCGAGCAGTGTCTTTGCTTAGAGACAGTGTCAGTCAGTGATTGCGAAGTGCGCGGCGTTTACCGTGCTGCAAACAGTCATCCCCTAACCTTGGGGCTGTCGCGCGAGAGAGACATGTCCGCGCGTCTGCGTGCCTGGTGATAATAACACTCTGGTAGAGTATATACCATAGTCGATCACGATGATGAACGCTTTCCTGGACGGTGTGTCCTCGCACCCACACCACCTGGCCAACCTGGGTATTAAACTGTCGCCCGGTGGCGGTGGTGCTGCGGGAGGATCCACGGATGCCGGGGCTGGCGTTCAACCGGCGCCCGGCGAGGCACCGTCACAACAGCATCACCATTTTCACCCCCAAGGATACCCGCCTCATCATCCCCATCCAGCGTCGCACATGGCGCCGCACATGGGCCACCACATGAGCCATCATCCCGGGTACGCGGCTAGAGATTTCCTCCTACGACGGGAGCACGAGTTCAACGCGACAGCGAACCCTACCACCCCCGAGAGCGGATTGGGACTCTTCACCCCGTTGCACCACGATGGAACAGCGGCCACCATGCAACAGTTCCCTCATCATCCGAGCCAGCACCCGCTTGCCGCGAGTCACTATCCCGGACACTACCCCCAGGACTCTAGATTACCACCCCATCACCAATATCTTGGAGCACCGCACCTAACGCCAGCTTCCATCCACCACCAGCAGCATCCAGCAGTTAGCCATCCGAGCCACCACCCCCACGGCGCGTTCCTCAGGTACATGAGAAGCAACGGAGCCGCCAGTGGAGGTGGCAACGGTGGCGGCGTCGCCGGCGGACAACGCCAGGAGATGTCCTGTATGTGGGTTGATCAGGATGCCCCAGGTCCCGGAAGGAAGCTGTGCGGCAAACTCTTTAACTCCCTCCATGATATTGTGACGCACCTTACCGTAGAACACGTGGGCGGACCCGAGTGCACCACGCACGCGTGCTTCTGGCAAGGGTGCTCGCGGAACGGCAGGGCGTTCAAGGCCAAATACAAGCTCGTCAATCACATCAGGGTGCACACCGGCGAGAAACCGTTCCCGTGCCCGTTCCCTGGATGCGGCAAGGTGTTCGCTAGGTCCGAGAACCTTAAGATTCACAAGAGGACGCATACCGGTGAGTAACTATCCCTTTACGTTGAATAAGTCTGTGCTCGGAAGTTATGTCGAATCTGTGGATCCGTTTTCTTTTGTTTTGCGTCCGGTTTAGAGAATAGCGATAAGGTTTGTTGAACTACAGGTCGATAGTCATGGAAAATTTGGAGTTATGAATATATATTATTCCGTCGAGATAGCTTATATCGAGACGTAGAACGATGGAAGTTAGATTAGGGGTTGAATCGGTCTAGAACCAGGTTCATCTGTTGACAATGAATGAAAAGAATCCCAAGAATCAAGTCTTTAAAGGCTGCGTCTAGAAACATAGACACTAACCTAAACCTCCCGCAACGTCTGCCAGCTGCAAATCGATTCACAGTATCCTCCAAAGATCTCAGCCGAGCTCCAAAACCACAAACCATTCCACAACGACCTCGCGATCAGGTCCAAGACAACTCATAATCTCCCCGTCTCATCAACTTCTCCAGCGGCCGTCTCTCCAGCTCGCGATATCTTCTTTCAAGCAGCCAGCGAAGAATGCCGCAAGAATTCCCCCGAACTCGCGCCCGGTGCTCGTTTGAACCCTGTCACTCGCTGATCTGAATCAGCCCGCACCGGCCGCGTTTCCACGAACGAGCGAGTAACATCCGGAAACTTGGCCAGGCCCTGAACTATTCCTAGGACCCTCTAGCTTCAGGTATCCTCCCCGCCTTCTTCGGGACGGGCCGCGACGAATCCCGCGCTATGAATCATCGCGCCGTTAAATACCGTCCCGGGGCCCGGTCGCTCGATTAATTTCGGGCACGGTGACCCGCGCCAGCGCGCGCCAACCGTGAGGATCCCGGCCGAAGAGCAGCAATAATCCGCCGGGCCGAATTCGCTCGATTTCCGCGCGGCGTGGAGGGGTTGCTCGGGGGATGCATAAATAATAGGGCGCGGGGGAACGGTTGTCCACCGTCGCCGTGTTTCCCTTCCCCCTCCGCCGCTCTGCCCCCCCTCGCCCGGACGATCGGTGTCCCCGTGCGCGTCCTCCTTCCCG